TGTTGTTTTCTGGGAAAAAGAAAACAATTGTGGTTCCAGTGGTGAGAGGTGCTTTGGGAACAATTTCAAATGGAATGACAAAACATCAGAATAAAATTGCCACACAAAGGACCACAATGGCACAGTTACAATGAGTGACACATTATCTGACGATATTGCAAAACATTGGAATAAAATTGCCACAAAAAGGACCACAATAACACAATTCCCAGAAGTGACACTATTTGGAATTTGACACATTATCTGATGATATTGCAAAACATCAGAATAAAATTGCCAAAGAAAGGACCGTAATAGTGCATTGACAAAAAAGTGACACTACTTGGAATGTGCCACATTATCTGACGATATTGCAAAACATCGGAATAAAATTGCCACAAAAAGGACCACAATAACACAATTCCCAGAAGCGACACTATTCGGAATTTGAAACATTATCTGTCGATATTGCAAAACATCAGAATAAAATTGCCAAAGAAAATACAATGACAAGAAGTGATGCTACTTGGAGTTTGCCACATTATCTGACGATATCTCATTGATTCCTAAATCCTTGGACATAATCCGAATCCCCGATGCTCCAAAACTCTGGCCCGTAATATCCGACAGACTGTGCACCTGAGATTCTGATTATTATTAATTGATTTCTCCAGCCTTTTCTCCAAGGCAGGCTTTCAAGGAAGCTTGCAGACTATTAACACCAATACAGATTAAAATGCATACAAAACACCATTAAAGTTGCCTTAAAAGGCAATTAAACAGCCTGCAGAATTAAAGCCATTTAAAAATCCATTAGAAGGAAGAAGATAAAAATCAACAGTGCACCATTTAAAAGAAAAACATTGCAGTCAATTGCTAAAAGGCTTCCAGAATACAGAAATTTTCAATGTTCAGTGAAAGGAGAGCAAGAGAGGAGCCATCCTAGCATTTGTCCAGTTTAGGACCAAAGTCTGGGAGCAGCCACCAAGAAGGCCTTCTTCTGTGTTGCTGCCATATTTATTTATTTATTTTTAATCCTGCTTTCCTCCCAAAATTGGGACTCAAGGTGGCTTAAAATTTAAAAGAACGGTACAATTAAAAACATACAAAAGTGAAGATCTCCGAATCCAAACAGGGCAATACAGTCGGCCCTCCTTATCCACTGATATATTTTTTTTATCCACGGATTCAAGCATCCACGGCTTGAAAATATCTTTAAAAAGTATGAATTCCAAACAGCAAACTTTGATTTCCTATTTTATATAAGGGATGCCATTTTACTCTGCCACTGTATTTAATGGGACCTGAGCATCCACGGATTTTGTTATCCACGGGGGATCCTGGGACCAAACCCCAGAGGATAACAAATTCCCACTGTTTAGGGAAATTTTCTTCTTCTCATAGCCTGGACCTGAGCCTTACATTGATTGTTTGAAGGAAAGAGCATCCATACCCTCCAGCTGTTCTGATTAATCCTCTGCAATCCCACTTTCCAGCTGTTTTTTGAATGTCCCAGTTTCTTTCTCTCACTTTTTCCCCTTTGGTCCTCAGCTTACTTTGGTTGCTGCAAACCCGATTTCCAAGCACAAAGCTAGTTTGCAACCAAGTAACTCACCCTAAGGCACCAGATCAGCCTACATATGATTGATTCTCTGGACCGCAGCCCTGAACTTCTTGCTCTGGCTTTGATTTTGAGTTCCTGCATGGCAGAAGAGGTTGGACTGGATGGCCCTTGGGGGTTTCTTCCAACTCTAGGATTCTATGCTCACTGCTGAGGTTTCATAACAGGTTTGCAGGAGTCCCTTGTATGTGACTCAATGGTCCAAAACACACTGCAGAAATAATCCCGGTTGAGACCTGCCCTGACTCAATGGTAGGAAATCCTGGGAATTGTAGTTTATTGTGGCACCGGCGCTCTCTGACAGAGAAGGCCAAATGTCTCACAAAACTACAGCTTCCAGAATTCGCACGCACTGAGCCAGGGCAGTTAAAGTGGTCTCAAACTGGATTATTTCTGCAGTGTGTTTTGGACCAGTGTCAGGAATCTTTCCTGGGGACTAGTTCCCTAGCTCTGATATGTATTAATCCGCTCCTATACTAAGATTAGTTTTAATTAACTATTGTGTTTTAATGTAGGTTTTAATCATGTCTAATTTAATAATTTCTTAAGGGGGGTGTATGGGAATTTGATTTTACTGTTTGTTATGTATTTTATTGTTGTTAGCCGCCCTGATTGTTTGCAAAGGGGTGGGATAATAATAATAATAATAATAATAATAATAATAATAATAATAATAATAATAATAATATTATGGGGAGGCAGGATGCTTCCCAAGCCACCCATCCTTTCAAGCCTTTGCAAGAGGCTTGGACTGAGCTGTCGCTGCTGTGTTTGCTTTGTGATTCGTTTTTTGCAGAGAATTAAAATGGGGATGTTTGTTCCGAGCCGATCTATTAATGCAGGTTTACTTCAAAGTGGATTAAGAGCAAAGCAGATTAAATGTCTCTTGTCGCTCCTGTACACACACAAACACACACACACTCTCTGTGTTTCCTTGCATGGTTCTGCAAATGGCAGGCTGCCCGGTTTGCTTACTTTCATGCACACCGGACACATATCCAGGGAGTAGCAGCCGTGTTGGCCATATAGCAAAGTACAATAACCTCCCAAATCCACAAAACAGCAATACCTTTATGGGACCAACCAAAATGCACAAAATACATCTTGCAAGCTTTTGAAGCTCCACTGGCTTCTTCATCGGGCGAAGGTGTTAAGAACATGTTGTTGGTGTTGTTATTGTTGTTGTCACTTCTGACCTATGGCAACCCTAAAGGGACAATGTGCATGCATTTAAATTTTGTGAAGTCGAAGGCTTTTCATGGCTGGCATCCATAGTTGTTGTTTTTTTTTTGTGGTTTTAAAATAAAATTTAAATTTTATTTCCTGGACTTTATATCCTGGAAAACCTTATGGGGTTTTCTTGGCAAGATTTGTCCAGAGAAGGTGTGCAATTGCCTTCCCCTGAAGCTGAGATAGTACGACTTGCCCAAGGTGGGTTTCATGGCCAAGCGGGGATTCGAATCCTGGACTCCAGAGTCATAGCTGAACACTCAAACCATTCAAACACTCAAACCACTATTCTGGCTCTCGTACAGGAGGAATTCTTTTGACAGTGTCTGCTGAATTCTGCATAAAGCATTCTCTTTCTCTCTCTAATGCATGCGCAGTTCTGAGCATGGCAACCTGTCTCTTCCATTCTCTCTCATGTGCATAGGGCCTGTGGATGATGGGTGCAGAATTCTGCATAAAACTGGCTTCCTGTCCCCATTTTGTACATGCAGAATTGTAGAATCATAGAATGATAGAGTTGGAAGAGACCCCAAGGGCCATCCAGTCCAACCCCCTGCCATGCAGGAACTCAAAATCAAAGCATCCCCAACAGATGGCCATCCAGCCTCTGCTTAAAGACCTCCAAAAAAGGAGACTCCACTACTCTCCGAGGAAGGAGTGTGTTTCACTGTCGAACCGCCCTTACTGTCAGGAAGTTCCTCCTAATGTTGAGGTGGAATCTCTTTTCTTGTAGCTTCCATCGTTGTTCCGAATCCTATTCTCTGGAGCTGCAGAAAACAAGCTTGCTCCCTCCTCAATATGGCATCCCTTCAAATATTTAAAGAGGGCTATCATATAACCTCTTAACCATCTCTTCTCCAGGCTAAACATCCCCAGCTCCCTAAGTCTCTCCTCGTAGGGCATGGCTTCCAGACCCTTCACCATTTTAGTTGTCCTCCTCGGGACACGGTCCAGTTTCTCAACCTCCTTTTTGAATTGTGTTGCCCAGAACTGGACACAGGATTTCAGGTGGGACCTGAACAAAGCAGAATACAATGGCACTATTACTTCCCCTGACCTAATTGTTATACTTCTATTAATGCAGCCTAAAACTGCATTGGCCTTTTTAGTTGC